AAGCGAAGACACCCTTGTTCTGATTACATCGGATTGGATACGAGCTGAGTCTCCGTTCTCCTCTTGCGTTCTAACGCTAGCCCTCTCGACTTCGCCTGAGCTTAGCAGACACTAGGCTCCTGTGCGACTAGTAATATATAAATAATGCAGGAGATCCGCTGAACTACTTGTTCTCAGCACGGGTCGTCTTGCCGCATTCGAAGAAGTTCTTACTGTTCCAATCGGCTCCCCCTGCGGGTAGGGGTAAGAATTTACCCGCGGTAAGGCATGCCTGTCGTAAAAGGCGACTAAAAGCCAAATGCACTATGACTGTTATTATGTACCTTGCTCAGTAATATCCGCATAGTATGTCAGAAATAGTGCTATAATACTCAGCTTGAACTGATATTATAGACTTTAAATGAAAAAGCAAATAAAAAGACATTTGAAGTTCAAGCGACAAATGTCACCAGTCATTGAGTAAGGCGGAGCTCAACTGACAGTAGCTTCGGCTACACAGTTTTACCGGAAACTAATCTCTTGTGCCACGGGGAGCAGAATGCCCTTGGACTTCGGTTCAATCTGCTCATTGGGTTTGGCCCTTTGGAGAGTATCGTGGTGGCTGTGGTTTAAACCTTAATACTATAAGAACTGAATTTTCAGTTCAAAAAAGAACTTCAACTTGGTTCCCATTACACACTGCCACTGGTATCCAAATAAATACTTGCAAATAGCGAGTATTGTTTGGGGCGCTTATCAACGCAATGTATTAATATGCTGTGCTTTTGAGCACCCTGAGGTAAGGCCATCGACGGCAGGTACTCACGTAAATCACAACGAAATTGTTCCAATAGGCGTACACGCTGAGACTGAAAATCTTGTCAAAATTGTATGGATGAAGATATGGTGGAAGCATCCAGGCGAATTGACCAGCTTTTGCAAGACTGGGGTCAAAACATTTCGGCAGTCATATTTTCGACAAACCTGGCGAATTGACCCGGAATTGACAAATTTGTGGCAGACTCAGTGTGCTTTGCCGGTTTTTGAGAGCCTTTTCGATCTGTGCTTTGGAGCTTTTAACTTAACCTTCTACATCAATCCACAAAAGTTTATTTTGAGATCCGAGCAAATTTGTAAGAGCAAAAAACAAAAGATTTACTTCCAAGTCCGTTTATTTGTAAAGAGTCGTACAGTATTTTGATTTTGTAGGTACCGTTATTGTACATACTTCACAAACATTGTTTATAAGTGAAGTGACTAGATATTGTCATCGACTTCGATAATCGTGAAAAGTCATAAATTAGTTGTTTCGACAGAAATGGGTTATGGGAAGAAGTTTAGATGTTTGGAAATCAAAATATTAATCAAACATTTAGAAAGTTCCCGGAAGCTTTTGGGATTACCTTCACAATAATGCATACTGGAAATAAGTATCTATAGTAGACATAGGTATATAGTTATATACATTATCTGGAATAAACTTTCGTTACTAATTACAGATTTTAATTAGCTACTAAAAATCTTTGCCTAAAAATAAATTAAACGAATCAACACGAATTTGCATTACTATTACGAAACTACTTCAAAGTCAGTTTTAAATATTAGCACGAGCACGGTGTGATGTAATCGATGTCACGCTATTCTCTCCATTCCGGGTCGTTTATATTATAAGCCATTGTTATAAAGCGATTTCGTGCAGATTTTTACAATAAAAATTAATAAACTGGACAATTAACGCAACAACGCCTATCTCAGCATCTACATGTGTGTACGAGTATAGAAACCGTTATGTAGTATCGTAATGTAGTGTTAAATGATTGTCCCACAATTAATTGTTTTTCCTTCCACTTTCAACCTTTTCGACATGAAATGCAATTTCACTCTCATTCAGAGTAAATTATAACAGTCAACAATTTTGTGATCTAATGACAATAGTCTGGTTTTGTCATTCATGAATCATATTACATACATGATTCACATATGTACATATGTACATACTATACTTATATACATTAATTTTAATTCCAGTTTTTGCGTGCTAATCTCTAAGCAAAAATAAATTTGAAGTATTCAAACATTTTATGCATCAGTCTAAATAACAAAGCATTTGTTTGGGGTAGATTGGTCCTGAGAGTTTGGTTATGTAAGAGTGGACCCATTTTATGAAAATGTAATAACTGTAAATTAATAAAAACTAATTATAATTCCAGTTAGTAATCACACAATTCTCTGGCTTTAGACGTATTAACATAGACGTAATCTCCTACCCCCTTGGGGTATTTCTAAAATGAGGCTGGTAACTGGACGTTCACTTTTCACGAAACTACACCAATCTAGAGAAGAGGTAAAGCTTTAGAAAGGCTCCCTTCTTAGACCTTCTAGATGAGCGTCGCCTCACATCGGCGCAAAACTCATTTAGACTTTTTTAGTCGCCGGAAGCGGGTAGTATCATACCTGTGCAACTCTAGGGCGGCTCTAGCCTTCAACATGTGGGCAGGGGAAAGTACATGGGGCTTTTCCTGAATAGGACGCGCTGGAGAAGAGGTGCAGTGAGCTTTTCACGGATGGATCGAAGCTTAGTGGATAAGTCGGAAGGAGAGTCATCTGTCTGCAGTCAGCTCGAGCTTCAGGCTACCAGACCCCTGCAGTGTTTTTCAAGCGGACAAGGCGGCCAGAAGGTTGCTACCTTAGATCTACTAATCCGAAGTGCAGTTTCCTTTACAGAGGTGTAATTTCACATCTGCATCATATCGCAGAGCGCTCAAGATTAGTTAAATACCCTTACCCAAATTTAATCAGATTGGGAAGAAGTTGCTGACCTTTTGCGCTCTAACGTTTGAGCTATACATCCCCCGTAAACTTGTGAAGGTCGGCGAGGTGAATTCATATGGGAACTTTCTGGTTCCCAGTTTTTTCTAGACTAAGGTAGAAGCATCTCGGTAAACACATCTTCGGCGAACCTTTCAAACGCAATTTCTTCTTTTTGTCCGGAAGCTTTGAAATATATATGTATATACATGTGCCTTTTGAAGGATAGCTCCAAGGTCCAACTGCAAAACATATGGTCTTAATCATAGTCCCTCTGAAAGGCTCCGTACGAACTTTTCAGCTTGTTTGATATATTATTGTAACGAGTTTACCTATAAAATAAAAAAAGTCGAGTCCGCAGCAGTCGACTACTCCAATTTTTAGAAAGTCACTTTACTTGCCTCCTGTGTATACTTGTACTCTGTAGGCGGGATTCTGCAAAAGTAATCTTGCGAAATACTTGAAGCTTGTATTATATTATTATCAGAATTTTTTAAAACTTGGTTAAAAAAAAAAAATCGAAAGAATGTCTCAGGAAGCTGCTTAAAGAATATATATTCTAGAAAATAAACCGCTTTGTGTAGAAAGTTAAATAGAACAAAATTACAAACAACAATTATCATCTATCAGCAACAATGAAGTCTGCTAAGACTTTCCAGAGCTTGAAGTTCTTACGAGTATTTCACAAATAACGTCATCGCGACGACACAATTTCAATGAACCGCGAATGGAGTGAGGCAGTAAACGCTCGTAAAACCAACATAAAACAAACAAACATAAAACTTTTAAAGCTATGTATACAACAAGGCAGACAACAGACGGACAAACAAACATGGAGATATACTTACATACAGACAGACCAAATGATCACATATAAAATCAAGCACGAGGGGCATAGAATGTATGAGCCGAAAGAAGAAACAGTTTGTTGAAAGAGTTCGTAGACCACAAGTAACGCCACGATGGTGAAGACCACAATTGCGGCAACAATAGCAACAACAACGGTAGCAATGAGCATAATAAAAATAACCGCAGCAACATAAATATAGCACACATATACATGCACAGTAGATACTAAACATACAATAAATAGCATTAGCAGCATTTTGCCGCAGTACACAGCGCAGGGAAATTAACAATAACAACAAAAATTTTACAAAAAAACACACACAACAGAAGAAAAATACACCAATTGAACTCTGGCAACAGGCCACCGACAATTGTAACGATAGCAGTGATAGTTCCAGCCGCAGCATCGCCAACAGCAGTGGGGTGGTGACGCTGTGGGAGGCATAAATACGCTGAATGGGAATACACTGCTGTCTACTAATAGAATTCCAATATGCATGCGGGTATCCAACCACACACATACAGACAAAAAAAAAAAAAACATATGTAGATGTATATGCAGTTGGTGCGTGTGTATTGTGTTGTTGTTGTGTCGTGTGGACTGTAGAACGGCATGTGACCGACAGATCGATTGCTCGCTGACTAAGCTGACTTTGTTTCAGCAGCGTGAAGCAGCAGCAGCAGCAGTTGCATGCGACTGTAGTGTAGAGAGTTTCAGCAATAGCAAACGCGATCATCGCTCGCACACACGACGGGGTATCACACGCGAACATATGTTGTTATCAAAATTAATACAATCTACTAAACCGAAAACGGATTCAAGAAAGAAATTAAAATAAAAAATATAATAAAAAATAATAATAATAATAGTAATAATTTAAAAATAGTAATAAATAAAAATAATAATAATTAAATAATAGTAATAAATAAAAAATAAAATAGAAAGCAATAATTATGGAATATTTTGAAAATAATACTGATTATAAATTTAAGCTTGTACAAAAATATATTTTCGTTTAATTTTGTGTTTTATTATAACAAAAATATATTTGCGCACAGCTATCCAGTTCCACGCTAAGCAAGCCAAATCAGATGCGCAACTGTAAATGGTGTGAACCACTTAAAAAAAATATAAAAAATATAAAAATAATAACTAAAGTGAAATAAATGCTATAAAATGTGTGCAAAACAATAGAATGATCACACCAATAAACAAAAAACAATTATTTATCAAAATGTTATATATAAAATAATACAATAAATAAAAAATCTAGCGTCGCTCCAGCTGTGCGAATCGTGATCACAGTCACCGCTGATCGTTGATAAACTTTTAGCACTAAGCCGCTAATACATTTCATTAACAGCACCAAACGCGTTTCCAAAAACATATAAGAAATTTATAAACAACAAACACAAACAAAAAAAAAATTATTATGTAAAAAGTGTGTTCCAAATAAAATATAAATAAACAACACTAGCAATAATTTATATTAAATAAAAACACAAATAATAAACAAGACGAGAAAAAAAATTAACAGTGATATAAACACAGCCACGCCTCACCTCCCACAGAGCACCAACGATCTATGGCTTTATTACGTGCATAAAGTGAAAAGTGTACTAAAAATATACTAAAACCGAATTAGCACAAATACAGGCGTAGCAGGCGAGCGTACACACCCGAAAATGGCTCGGAAAGAGCAACCGGCCGCTAATGATATCGAGCAATTTCTACGAGGTAAGTCGTTATGCTTGACTAATTCCGCTGAATATTTCCACATTTCTATCACTTACATATGTAGTATGTATGTATTATTGCGGTGTTGTGCGACAAGCTTAACTATGTAAATATTTACTAACATTCTGAGATATACTACAATGACAATACTAATAGTAAAAGCATTGCCAAGTGTTATAACGTTTTCACACATATATGCGAGTTCTACATGCGCCATTAAGTGCCGGCCCCAATTTCTATGTCTTACGTGGAAAATGCTTACATTGCATTGTGTGTGTGTGTGTGTGTGTGTTAAGATTTTTTTTCGAGGAATAACACCGGAAGTGATTCTATGCTGACGCTTTTTGTTACGACTCAATGGTTTTAAAGCACCACTTACAGTTAAAATTGAGGTAGTTGAAACGATTTAATGGTTTTGCATACGAAAATTTGAAATATGTCAGCTGTATCAGCCAAAGTTAACCTCACTTTCAAAGAGAACCCTTTAAAAACAAATAAAACATATGTTACAAAAAACACCCCCAACTAAAAGAGAAAAATAATTCGTATTGTGTATTCGTAAAATCAAATAGTGCACAAAAGATGAACAAGAAGATCAGTCATAAGCATAAAATAGTTAAAAATAGTATGCCTTTTGTGACAGAGTTTGTTTGAGACGGTTTATAATTTTATGGCATCTAATTTAGATAAACATTTTTATAACTTCTATTATCTCAACTATAATGCATACTTTAAATTATTTCACAATTTACAAAACGAAGAAACACTGCCGACTCTGTCTCTTTTTCTCTGTAACAATAAATTCGAACGTAATTCATTTCGTATATCCCACATCTATATTAGTGGGTAAAATTCTCGCACTTTAGCGCTTTCCTTAGCTAATATTGTTTTATATTGCTTAATTTACTTATAAAAGTAAAAATAGTTTAACTTCATAACAATGCTTATTGAAGATTTCAGAGATCTTCAAACCAAAAGATATCCATATAAAAACGAAAGTAGAGTTGATTTTGCAAGTATCGGTTTTTTTATAGTTTTTATTTCATATAAATCTAAATAGATCTAAAATAAAATCTCTGATATCCAACTAACTAGTTGCAGCTGGTATATCAACATAGATCACTGACTTGACTCAACCCCAGAGTAGAGTAAACTAACGAATTCGACTCAAATAAGGAATAGTGAGCTATTGATTAAATCTACTTTTTTAAAATTTTGCCGCACTGGAAAGTGGACGTAACGAACAAAAATGTTTAAATAATTTTATTGTTGGCACATTTAAAAACCAAAATTCTAAATCTGAAGAGATCTTTTCTTCAAATACGTAAATGTGGAAGTTTAATGGGGCTATGATGGCATCATACACGAGGCCATTAGTGTTTGAAATCAAATAACAAAAAAAACAAAAACCAAAAATTTTTCAAAAAGTAAATGTGGTAATAGCAAAAGGGCTTTTGAACGACATTTTGTTGATCATCATTCACCATAACAATTTCAATGTATTCACAGTGACATAAGATAACTTCAAAATTCCAATCACGCTATGTGTACTACTGTGATCAAAAAATAAGATGAGCTGATTAATGTCGAGTACTGTCAATACAGAATGAGCAATTTATCTGAAATGGTAAGCTATTTGTCTTGATTCCTTCATCACGATAATGCACCATATCATACTGCATTGGCCCTCGCGAATTTTTTGCCAAAAACTCGTCACACATATCGTTCCACAACCACCGTATCTAATGATTAGGCTCCGTGCGACTTCTGGCTATTCAACAATCCGTTTTGACACAATTGCAGAGATAAATGTCGAATAGAAGAAGGTATTGAAGGCTGTACCGAAAAATAACTATTCCGACTATTTCGAATGCGCATTATCGGAAAGGGATTACTTTAAAGAGGATAAAATTGATTTGGAAGAATAAAAAAAGTATTTACATTTTATAAACAAATTCACCATACTTTTTGATCACAGTATTATAATTCTCGCATAAAGTAGTAATGTCAACAACTACTGAGCGATCTGTTGTGTACATGTGAAGGCAGAAAAGCTGGCTTCGCTCGCGATAAAGGAGAAAGAGACCACTCGACTTTTTTTTTAGTCAAGAACTTATAATAGTAGTTCAGGGCATTGTATCATTAGAACTGGGCTTATACATTGAAATTTTCTTCCAACGAAATGTCTAAAGTTTCGGTTCTAACGGGGAATAATTTGAAAACATTACAACTTTTAGTGTACAAATGCACACATATATACATACAAGTAGCAATCCTTTTGAAGGTCGACGAAACCTTATGGAAACTTTGATAGATATTTGACCGAACACACTTGTTATATCGTATCAGCTGACAGATTTTATGAGAGACTTTTCTCATGTTAAAAAAATATACTCATAAACTCGATATTGTCTGTGAAGTAACCACTAATCTTAGACATTTCTATACCTTGAACAAGGTATATTAAGTTTGCCACGAAGTTTGTAACGTCGGAGACCATATAAAATATAGTATATACATATATACATAAATGAGCAGCATGACAAGCTGAGTCGATTTAGCCATGTCTGTATATATGCGAACTAGTCTCTAGTGTCAGAAATGTCGATATCGGAACACTATAGCATATAGCTGCCATTCAAACTGAGTTATCAAAATCAATTGCCATACAAACGGACCCACCAAAATCAAGCTTCGGTATAATATTATATAATATATATATATAATAGCTTCGGTGCAACCGATGTTAACGTTTTTTCTTGTTTTTTTTTTTATAATTTTAGACTTGAGACCTGCCAGAGTTTTCGACACACCGGCAGCCCAAAATAATGCTAATTAAATTTTCTTGAACTTAAACTTTCTTTACATACATTCATATGTATGCTAATAACTACATATTTACACACTGAACGCACACATTTTCGTAAATTATGGAAATATGTTGCGCGAAGCCACAAATCACCGGACGCTTGTATGTTGCAAATTACTTGGCAACCTACTTAATGTGGAACAAGACTTTCTACATCAGTTCACATGCTTTGCCGTGGCCAATATTAAAGCTGTGGCAGTGACTTACCTAATTACATAGTAGAAGCATTTTTAGCATTTTTTATAAATACCCTGAAATTTTGTATAATATTATAATATTAGTCACGCCTCTTCGGCGTCAGCTAAATTGATACCTCGAAATATCGAAAAGAACCTTTTACTTACTTGCGTACGAGCCAAGTAAATCATTTTGCTTTCAACTAGCTGTTCGCACTAACTTACTTAGTAAGCTAATACACTTCTTGTATTATGATTTGACTCACTTGCACACAGCAATACATACATACAATGTATCTACAAGTAACTTGCTGCAATTGTTGACTTCCCCAGCTTTTCAACTTGTTTGTTGTTTGTTTAGTGCCTCGCAGTAGTCGCTATTTTATTTTGTGTGCATTTTTTTTTTTTAATTTTATTTTAGCTACAACACCTCGATTTGTAACAGCGCTTGCGGTTTTTGTCTTCTCAGCTTTATTCTTTTTTATATTTTCTTTGCTTTTGCAATACATTATTCATTCGCGCGTTTCATTTTTGTGGCTGCAAATGTAGCATTTGCTGTTGTTGTGTTGTTGTGTATTGTCTTTCGTCTGAGGTTAATAGTTAGTAGTGTGCCGCTATAATATATTTTTATTATTTTCATAATTTTTCAGTTTTTATTTGGTTAAACGCTGTTACCGTTATTCTGCCGGCTTTTACTTTTCATGTCGCAACATTAACACATTCGCAATTTTTATGAATTCATCATCGTTTAGCAGCCCGCCAGGTTTTTATTATGCTTTTTACAAAGTCATTTCAATTTCAGAGCTCAATCGTTGGCTGAGTGGCTCACAAGTTCAGGCAACATACATACAGACACATAGATGTATATGTATGTATGTAGATAAAGGGTGTTTTCGAGAAGAAATAAAACGCATATGATGTAATATTATGGCTAAAAATGTAGCTTTTTTCTTTAAGATAAGCGTTTGCCATTATGTTTTAAAAATGATTTTGGGCAATTGAACGCTGGCTCGAATAAATTCCAACCAATGACGACCCGAATATTCTTTTTCAAGGCGGCAATCATCTCGGGTTTATCTGCGTACTCAAGCGACTTCACATAACCCCACAAAAAATAGGCCAGCAGTGTTTAATACGCTCACCAAAAGTTTCCTTCAATAAATTGCTGCTTTCGTTTGCTGTCAGGCATGTGGCGCCATCTTGTTGAAACCAAAGGTCAACCCTATCAACATGGCTCTATCGCGTTTACCATTGACTGTAGCATTAAGGCCGGTCTCATTTTTGAAGAAACAATCGTCTCAATAATAGCTTGTGGATTATCATCACTTCAAATGTGACAATTTTGTATATTAACTTACCATTCAACCAAAAGTGAGCTTCATCGGCGAATCAAAAAATTCGATGCTCTGCTCCATAACAAAATTTTATTATATCAACCGAATATTGCACGCAGCGCCCCATTATTTTGGTAATAAATTTGCACGATTTGCAAATATTGTTCCGAAGTAAGTCTGTTCATTGTGAAATCGCAACCCAAACTGAGTATAAATCAAGTAATAACTGCCAAAAAGAACAACTCCTCATTGAAAACCACACAGCTAAAAAACAACACCCTTTATTTATGTACAGTTAGTAATAGTCACACAGCTTCAGGGCCTCATTAACTCTTTCACTTGGCTTTGATTAATCTTGGAATTAGCCCGGTGTAGTTTGCCAGGGCAAAACTATGTATGTACTTGTATATAAGAAAAACTCAAACTTTCTTCCAATAAATTTAAGGGTTTTAAGCACTTCATATTACAACAATTACGTTTTACTTTATTTTGTAACTTTAATTTCATTTTAATAGCGTAAAGTTATATACCGTTCATTAAGTTAACGTTATTTGACTTTTGCTCCAAAAAAGGTTAGTTAGTTTAACAGTTTATGCTGCTGGCTTAACTGGGACCAAGCTGTTGAGTTGCTCAACAATTTTACAAAAACCAAAAAAATGCAAAAATAAACAACCTCATTACATCATTAAATTGCGCTTTAACGCTTTTAATTGCGATTTATAGTTCCGCTTACAATTACTTCGTTTATTAGGGTGCATATGATTTTAAACTACTTTAAGCTGAGACTATATACGGCCGCTTTAGATGAATGCTGAAATGGTGAAATGCTGCGCTTATCTCTGATATTTACTTTCACTGTAAATTAACTGTATACGCACGACGCCTAGAAAAATGATTTTCCCTACAAGCGGCAGCATCTTTCCCGTTTGTAATGGGCTGTAAAGGGCTACTGGGTTACACTAAAGGCTAGATCTGAAGATCAAACATAGACGAAAAACTGCTTCATAATTTGGTTCTTCCGTTAACACAATTTTTACATACCGTTATGGTTTATCTTTAAGTGGATAACCAAGTATGAGGGATGATTAGAAAGAATAGAATATATTTATAATTAAATACAAAAAAACTAACTATCGAGTTATTGCAAATTGCTAAAAAATTATCTTAAATAATAACCCATGCCAAATTAAAGTAAAGATATCTCAATATCTTTTCAAATGAAAAAATTTTACAAGCAAGCACTTGATTCCGATTGTTCAGTTTGTATGGCAGCTATATGCTATAGTGGTCCGATATCATCCGTACCGACATATGAGCAGATTCTTGGTGAGAAAAGGACGTATACAAAATTTCAGAACGATATCTCGAAAATTGAGGCACTAGTTATTATCTACATGGACATGGCTAAATCGACTCGTCATGCTAATCATTTATATACTTATATATACAAGTATATGGGTTATACGTGAACAAAATTAATGTACCCTGTTCAGGGTGTAATAAGATGATTTTGGGCACGCTAAAATTATACTTTTCACACAATCGAAAAACTACAAGGTCATTATACATATATGATATATATGTATACAAAATAAGAAAAAAAAATCAAAGCTTTCGGATGTTTTGATTTGAGTTACAACTGCAATTTGAAAAAAAGTCTTGAGGCGTTCAAGATACAGTGATTAAGCTTATTGAACTGAACGGCTACACTTTAGAAGGTTGCAACTCAAAAACTATTTCAGATATCGATTTAAAATTCCACTATGTTGTTTTTAAAGATATAGACTAACGAAATATATAATAAATAAAAAAATTATTTCTCGAAATTTCACACTAGGCTTACCCGCTAATGTGCGATAATAGGTACTGTGCGATAATAGGTACTTATATAGTGAGAAATACAGTAAGAATTTGGGAAAAAAGAGATATCGTTCACTCTATTTATTGAAACTCTTGGCCTAATTTAAAAACAAATAACAACCTAAAATCGTGGTAAGAAATTTGTTTACTTCTTATAATTTAAATTACAGTGAGCATATTGAGCTAGTCAAGTCGAATAAAAAAGTTTCTTAGTAATTTTTGCTTGTTATCAACGTAGTTATCATTCGTAGGAGTTTGATTGACGCTTAGGTGTTCTTAGTGGTTTATCAAGAGAAGTACACAAAACTTTCCACTAGCTAGTAGCGCGTTATTAGTACTATTGTAGTCAAAAATCTTATACAGCATATCATTCCATCTTATGTGATATTCCCTCGTACCATAAATTTTTTTGTAGACACTTCGAATGAGAGATATAAATGAAACATAATGAGAGACATAAAAAGTTCATTTCTATTTATGGAATATTTGTTTATTGCTTACCTCTTGAGCTTAAAAGAACTCTTGTTGGCAAGATTTAGCTTCATGCAACACGGACTTTCTTAAACGTTCGTGAATCCATGAAGAACGAGACTATGTCAAAGGTGCTCTGTGAATCCAGTGAGATATATCCTTCTATCACCGTCTTCAGACTCATTCGTTTTGATTATTTATCTCAACATCTTGTTCCTTGGTTTGATGCCTATAAAGTATTATATCTGAATGGGTTAGTTCTCGTGGTGAAATTATTTCCTTCCAACATTCAATTAAGATAATATCTTGGCGGAATCTCGCATAAGTCTCACCTAACTTTCGATTAATAAAACTTTTGCAGAGATACCAAATTCAGCGGCGTAAAGTGATTCTCGTGGCGTCAAAAGCAATGGAACAAATATAGTTTTTTCTAAAATTATTGATTTCTCTTATTTCAGCATAACCATGAACTACTTTTTAGCCATGTTTGGTGTCACCTAATACTAAGCGTTAAACACGATAACTGACTTAACCTACTCAAAGTAAACTGGAATGGTTGAAACCAGGCAGTAATTGTCTAGGTAGCTTCGCTTTGTTCATAGAGGAATCTAAATCGTTTTTCAATCGTATCGATAACAGTAATAAAACATAATTAAATAAGCAAAAACATATATTTTCTCTACTAAATCATAAATATCTGAATTTACAAAAATTTCAGATGTACGCGAACATTTCCGCGCCTCACTCGAGACATCCGAATATGAGAATACCTCGAATATGTTTCATGTGACTGAGGCGGACGCGACACTCAAACTCTTGATACGCTGTGAGGTGCTCCTAGCGAACTACGCGCTAAAAGATGCCAATGCAACAACGCTCAATAACAATAAGTCCATTATTGTCAATGGCAAAATGGAGTCAAACGAAGTTTATGATAGAATCAATGGAGCTAATAGGGTCAATGACCCGTCAATGCAAGCGCACCCAACACACACCGCTGTGAGCAACCAAGGCAATAATGCAACAAAGAACATTACGAAGCAAACAGAGCGACCGCATGAAGACGCCTCCTACTTGGATATGAGCGGAGGCGGTGGCGGCAAAACCTGTGGCAAAAAATGTAAGTACTAAATGCTTGACCTCTGGGCGCAGCCCACCACACATACCAAATACAACACATACAGCCATGAGTTAATTAATGTAAAATAGCATTCAATTAAAATTTAATTTTTTTTTTGTTTTCAATTGCATATTTTAGCAAACAGTTGGTACGATGAGTGGAATAGTGACATGAAAAGTGATAAAACGTTTCGTTGTTCGGAGCGTCTTAGCAACAAAACCAACAATCAAGCGTACAGTGATGACGACGTTGACGAAGATGAGGAGGATAGCGATGCGAATGAAGATGATAACATATCGCAAAATTACGATATATGCCAAGTTTCCAGCCATGACAGAGACGAAATGCAAAAGGCAATAACACCAGAGCTCGAACCCATGCAGGCCATTGATTGTCCGTATATGGATTTACCAGCCGGACATCTTTCCATTGAGCGCGCCACCAAATATGGACAGCTGCAACGTGTCGAGAAACGTCTGTTCTTCGATCAGTGTAAAAAATACTACTGCGGTGTGCTTGACGATTGGCTGCTGTGCTATGCCGACGGGCCCACTGCAGCACATCCAACGATAACATTGTATTTAAAGCACAATGGCGTCGAAATCGAACACTATGGCGAGGGTAAACGGCGTGAAGTGTGCTTTCAAATAACAACCTCCGATCCCAATAAGAAATTCCTCTTCCAAGCCAATAGTGAAGTAGATGCCAAAGAATGGATTATCGCCGTCGAAGCGGCCATACGTGGAGACACATCACCGGCCAATTTGATAAGAAGTACAAGGAAACTGCCAACACCGCCCATGGCCAAGAAAATGACATTTATGAGTCACATAAACAATGCGCCAACGCATGACTGCATTTACGAAGAGCCCTCACCACTCTTTCAAACAGAAAAAACACCAAACAAGCTTAAACCTAATTTACCAAGCAAGAAGGATGCAACTGCGAAAGTCGATTTGATCAACGAACTGGAATACGACATACCCAAATATCCACCGCAACCTGTTAAATCGGCCGACACAAGTCAATCGGAGTTGGAAACTGCCGAATTATTGAATTTAAACGAAAGCAGCGTACTCAGCACCGAGAAACTCGAGTTCCAGTCGATCGTCAAGGATGTGCATAACAAGTTGTCTAGTCAGCTGTCAGCGGGCTCGACGCCGGAACGCTTAAAAAAGGCGCTCATAAAAACTTACTCCGGCAGCAGTGCCAGCGATGTGGAAGCTTTGGTATTAACACCAACATCACCGTCCACCGTGAAGGAGAACAAGAAACAACGCAAATCCACAACACCAAATGCCAGTCCACAGAAGAGTAACAACAGCACGCTTGGCAGTGCGAGCAACAACAACAGCAGCAATACTGTTATTGTTAACGATCGTGTGGGTGTGAAATGCTTTGATAAATGGTTCTTCAATCGCATGAATAAGACAACATCTTCGGGTCGCAGCACAAGCTCATCAAGTTCAGCGCCATCCTCGCCAGCCAAGTGCAAACAAAGTGAAAAGGAAAATCTACTACAAAGCCTCGATTCGCATGATGCAGTCGATGGTAGCATTAGTGGCGATGGCTTACATAACAATAGCAGTAATCCCTCATCACCGATACTGAAGAATAACTTTTCGAGTTGTAGCGCCGGTGTCGACAGCACCATGAAGAGCAAAGTCGATCTGATAATCAAAGAGTTTGAGACGAGCGCACACATGGGCATGCTCACAATGGAGACGTTGGCGGGCAGCGCTGTGGCCTCACTGAGTTCCTTCTGTGACAAAGATTGTAATAATTATGAGCCAATAATGACTGTGACAACGCCACCGAGCAGTTTCTTAAAGAAAATATAGCCGGCGTTGCCAGTATTAATTCGGAAAAGTCGTTACCGTATGAGAGCGACGCTAGTTGGTGCATCGTGTGATAGGCACTCAAATAATTAATGACTCTCTTTTGATAATATTTAGCTATGTAAGCGCTCTTGTAAAACTTTTAATCGTGTTGGCAGTAAAAGTATTCATTATTTTATTAAAGAACTGTTTGGAATAAATAATTTTTGTTAGTATTAATATAAAAATTGATGGTGTTTCTTTTTAAGCGTTGTAAGCAAAATTTGTTTAAAATACCTAAAATTATATATTGGATTACATATCTACTATATGACTGTTGCCGAGCTTAGACGAAGATGTTATTAAATATTTTCCGTTGTTTTTGAATCTTTGGAAAGAAATGGCGGTGACATTTATTATATTGCAAACTAATTCGAAGTTTTGAAACCAGTTATAACCAGTTAAGAACTAAAAATTACGAAAACCAAATCTAGAATTTTAACATCTAAATTTTATTTGTCTTAAAGTACACTTTAGGGTCCTTAAACTATTATTCAATTGTTGGCATAATGAAAAATATTCCCTCGCCATCCACTGTAGTGTCAAGGCGTTCGGCTCAGTCAGCTTCAGCACGAAAAACTGTAAACATCACATCGGGAAACAATGGTACTCGGACACTATCGAACATATGCCGTTGAAATTTTAAATCTTGTAGCTAAACACACAGCTACAGTTCTATTATTTAGTTAACAACGTACGATTTTTTTGTTATTATTGCACCTTTTTTATAAACAAATTTTTTTTTTTTTTTTGGTAAAAAAATTAACCTTTTTTACAAGTTCGCCATATAGCGAAATTTTTTGTAAAACTAAAAACACACCTACCTAACGTCGAATGTCCTATAAATTATATCCACTCCTTGTATGGCAAACTGTTAAATTAAACGAGCTATCTTCACAAAATTTAACAGGGAAGAAGAAATAGTTTAGATCGAATCACTCCTTGTATGGAAATCTTTTTATAAAGACTTTTTATGGAAACTTTTTTATTTGTGTCTCTTATTTTGTTTTATGGTGAATAGCATGAGTTCTAGAATAACCGCCACCCATAGATGCCATCTTCCAAAGATTGACGCAATAGCCGTTAATGTAAACTAAAATTTCAATATAAAATTTTTTATACACTCAAATACATGTTTTACTGATTAAAGGAAATTCGATTTTTCTTTACTAACAGAATAAATTTCAAAAAGGCAAATTAGGGCTTTAGACTGGCCTAACCTTTTCAAATTTCTCGCATAACGCCCTCAATATCAACTCCAAAAGGATGAATGCAATTCGAAATATCGAGTCAACCATTTTTAGTAGCACACATAGCTTATTTATTTGAGAGGTATTCTTAATGATCACCCGACAGAGCATTAGATCAAAGTTCGAAAGTTTTTTTTTACCGATCTCTATTAAGTAGTCTGGTAACTTGCATTTTTTTAATGGAAGATTTTATTTAGAAAAAATAAAATTCAATCAGTTTCATTTTGTAAAATAGTATCTCAGAGTGTACAAAAAGATTATTTTTGTCTTTATTTTTTTTTTGAAGTTTATTGTTTTGTAGCAGTGAAGTAAGCGCCTTAAGAAAGCAGGTGGCTCGCCCCGGTGATTTGGCAGCTTGAGGGCATCTGAAATAGCGACATCAAAATTATTATTGGTCTGTGAGTTGAAACTAGGATTAAGCCGTTTCGTTGAAAAATAAAAAATTGGTTGACTTCTGACATTTTTTAATTAGAAACCGGGCTGTAAAATGGAAAGTTAGCGATAAAAAAAGATTCTAGTTCCTGCGAGAGCTGTTGAGTAAAATAACATATTCAAATTTCAGCACAATCGGTTGGATAGAAAATCATCATGAAACGGCACTGAACCGTGTTCCATCATCTATCACTCTTTCTTTTCAAGATTCACAATATAAAACCACTGACGTATTTTATTACTTTCGCACATTTATTTCAGATAACATTTATATGATTGTAAATATATATATATATATATATATGTGTGTAAAAATCGTATGTATATTAACATAGTACATTTATAAGTGTATATTGTGAATTTATTGTATGTATTATTGTTTTGTTTATTCAACTATCGCAGCAAAACAGTGTTTTCTTTGAAGGCTAGAATTCCAAACAAAACATTTCAAACATATCGCCAAAAAGCGCAATACTTTGGTGTAAAATGGATTTATTCATGAAAGTTATTTAAAATATTTTCTTATTTGTATTTGTATTTGCCTTTGGAAATCGATGAAAGATACCATGGAAAAGGCTCACAGTGTTTATGATACATATGTGTATATCACACTTTCATTTAAGTTTTCTTCTTGCTACGATTGCTAACAGTTATAAAAAAGTTTCAACATAAAAATGTAACTACAACAACAATAATATCGTTTGCATTTATTCATTGAATTTTTAGTAACAAAATTATGTAAGTATGTGATTGATGCTAACTATTTCATTGAATATACGTGTATGTATATATGTATTAAGGTACATTATATCTTTTGTGAAATATTCAGTATGTAAAAAAAAGTAATAATAATTCAGAGGAAAATTATTGTTTGCTTTCTTGCTTTAGCAGTAACAACGAGGTAATCTCGTGATGTAAAACGATAAAAGACGGCATACATTTCATTAAGGTTTGGTAGATAGTGTCCACTACATAAAAATACCCGGCGCTGTGGAGGTGTACGCGTGTAACGAAAGAGCGTGTTTAATATTATGCGTAACAGTATCGGAATATAAAACAAAAATTAAAATAAAAGAGAGAAAATAAAAAAATGTGACTCCATGTTAGAAAAGCTTATAAGTTAGTGATTGATTAGAAGTACATAGTGATTGATTTTATAAAACAGCAATATGCTTATCTTTAGTATTTTAAAATATCAACTCTTATAATTCTGTTTATTTTTTCTTGCTTTAGTAAGCATTTTTCGGTGCGCACTCAATCGATGTTGAATTTATGTCGTTTGTGTTGCGTTTGCAGCTTGAAAGCGCTTCAATTTGCTTGTGTAGCTTGCAGCCATTGAATTTGTAAACAACAATTTTGTTTTAAGTATGATGATGATAGTGAGCATCTAAGGCTGCCGCATATGATGCATATTAAGCGGAAGAAAAGGTTACACTTTCTTGTGTTGAGATTCCAGAATTTCAATTAAATGATCACGCCGTTTTGAATCCTTTATGGTGATTTGTTTGCGGACCACTTCGTTAGTTGAAAACATGCCCATTACTTTTTTGTTTTGCTTTTTCAGTCTAATTTCCAGTCCCTTATCTGTGGGCGTAAAGACGTCGATGTTTTCAAGGCGGTATTTCCATTGGACCTGGGGGAGAAAGCAAAGCTATATTAATGAGGATATCAAAATAGATAATAAACCGTTAACTTCGACTGCACCGAAGCTACAATACACTTCACAGGTGCATTTCTTATAGTATAAGTATAATAATAAGAGTATAAAAAGGGTCCAGTATAAAAAGTCCGATCTGAACCATATTCCCGGATATTTGTGACGTTGCCTTAGTGAATAATCTCTAGCAAATTTCGTGCAGATATCTTGCCAAACAAAAAAGTACGCCATAGAAAAACTTTATTCCGATTGTTTGTTTGTATGGCAGCTATATGCTATAGTGGTCCGATATCGGCTGTTCCGACAAATGAGCAGCTTCATGGGCAGAAACGAACGTAGGAAAAATTTCAGATCGATATCTCAAAAACTGAAGGACCAGTTCGCGTGTACACAGACACACGGACATGGCTAAATCGACTCAGCTCGTCATGTTGCGCATTTTCGTATAAATTTTATCGGGTCCCCGACGTTTCCTTCTAGGTGTTACAAACTTATAATAGGCTGTATTTAGGGTATGAAAATTCAGATAATAAATGCTAGTTAACACAACTTTCATAAGGCAATGCATTTTTTAAATTCTACTCACTGTATATGTGCCGAATAGATCATTCTTCGTTGCATGTATAATGCGATGATTCGAAACGACGAAATACTCATGCTTTGGTACTAACTCCTCACAGTGTATAAATACATCAGTGGCGGCATATTTGCCCTTTTCGATTTCCCTGTAAAAGGCATTTCATCAAATATTCATTCTTACTTGCATTTATAATATATTATATTTAACTTTTATTTTGGTACATACCTGAAAACACGATTGCCCTCCGCCTCAGCACGACAATATGGTCGTACGACATTGTCCTGATGTATGTAACGGGGTGCACGAAGGCGCATTGCATCATGTTGCCCTTCGGCAGCACGACGCACTGCACCAAAGCTGCCACTAGCAAAATCAACCACACCGGCTGTCGGTTGGGCCACAAAACCAATCACGCCCTTGCCGACACCTTTAAAGAAACCCTCAACACCTTCTTCACGCGCGCCCGCTACGGGTTTGGTGACAACGCCCGAAACGCCATCAACGAAGCCCTGCGAAATTGTCAATTAAGGTTAATATGCATATTTTTTTTAAACTAATAAATATAATTGAATACACACCATAACCAAACTTTTGCCGCTACGCGCTATGCCTTCCGAGAATGTTTGTGGTTTCTTATTCATGTGCAGGCGTCGCTTCTTCTGATATTCTTCATCAAATGTGAGTGCAGCCAAACCTTTACCCATTGCGCCGGTGATCCTTAAAATTTAAAAATATATATATATATATAATTTAAAAAATATTAAATAAACAGAATACCCGACGATTATACTCACTTCGATACAGCACCAGCAGCGCCACCCACTGTATGTCCGAAAAGTGATTTAACACCAAGCGCTAGACCCTGAGCAAATTCGCCGGGTCCTTGTATAGCACCCTGTGGGAAGAGCATATATTAATAACAGTTTAGAGCAAAAAATGTGAAATATTTACCTGGAATGGTTCATAGAACAAATCTTCGACACCTTTCTTCAAGCCAACAACTAAGCCATAAGGATTGCCGAGCACATCCAAACCCAAAACGAGCACGTACAATTGTTTCAGCGCTTGGCCGGTATAATGTGTTGTGATCTCCGAAGTTAGCTGTTGTTGTGTGAAGAACTGATATTCACGCTCGAAGAAAGCGAGACGGAAAACGACATCGTTTACATCTGTTAAAGTAACGCCGACGCCCTGTACCAGCGTGGAGAGTATACCCGGCAAAGCTGTGGTATCTGAGCCGGCCATTGAGAAACTAACGTGTATTTTAATCGGTCCCAAATGCAAATTATCATAGAAATTCTTTTGTTCCTGTGCGGAATGCGTCTCCACCAGCTCAGCTAATGGTTTCTCTATTGATTCGACATTCATGTTGAAGAGTTTCGCCGCTTGTACATCGTCCACTTTGCTAGCAAACATATCGGCGAGCGCTGTGAGGAATATTAAATCCACTTTAAAATGGAATTCCTGTATAAGCATTGTAGCGTATTTGTATTGTTTGACAGTGGAATTGGGCACCACCCATTGTACAACACTGACTTCGATGAATGGCTTCAGAACTATAGTCGTGGCTACACTTTTTGGTGGTGGTATGGGCGCAAGCACAACTGGGAAGATATAATCGTTTAATTGATTGTCAATCTGGATTTTGTTGATTTTTGCATGTAGTTGCATTTGATAAGGCGATGTGCGCATTTTGAACCAAACACCTGGATAGAAGGTGCGATGTAATTCACGTTCTTTATTCTTTTTAAGTATCATTTGCTTGAAATCGATCTGAAATAAATTGTGGATTATCAATA